TATTATTATTATTCCTTAGTTTGCTTTTCCTATTTAATAGTTGCTTAATTAATAGTTACTTGGTTAGGAATATAGGTCTTTTAGCATGTTTGGACTCTATTTATTGTCTTCTCTTCTATTCTGCACGATCAGATCAATAATAATATTTTAGTTTTGAGATTTCATCTCTTATTCTCCCTTTCGTTCACGCTGCGCTACATCAGTAAGTATGAGAATAAAAAGGGATTTGCGAAGGAAATTAGTTTTATTGCTTTAATTACGAGATTGACCTCTGGAGTTGAGGTCGGCTCATTGATTAAACTTAGGGATAGTAGAGTCTTTATTGCAGAGTAAATGTAGAAAAAGAGAGAGAGAGAGAGAGAGTTGGTAAGGATTTCAACAACTCTAATAAATGAGGGGATCTTTCTATTTATAGTAACACTAATCTGGATGTCACCTCGTACATGTTACGTGGCCGTCCCGTTTCCACCACTCGGCATACTCGTACGCAGCGGAAGCTCGTCTCTTTGCTCGTCTGACCGCAATGCTCGCTTTCAAGGCCTACTGGAGTGTTGCTCGTGTACAGGGGCTCCTGGACAGCCTTCTTCTTAGCCCGGGCTGATCCCAGCTCTCCTTTACTCGCTCGTTTCAGCTCCTTTTCGTACCTATTCAGCCGCAATCAAAATACTGAGGTTAATAACAATAAACCTACTCTAATGAACAACAATGGAGCTGAAAATACAAGGTAAATGCTGGGAATAAGGAAATAAGAAATAAAAGGAGAGAGGAACAAGAAAACCCCCTTTAACCGACAACTGGAGACGAGGGACACAAAGTCCGGCTCAGATCGTCCTTCTTTTCCGGCACCCTCGGTAAGTCCGGCTCGGTGGCGGTCAACGAACGGCAGCCCCGGTTCCTCGGCCGGCTCCCCGGGCTACACCTCTTACACACGACCACGCACCCGACCACTCTGTCGCCTAACCCCTCCTCTCACGCTAAGAATCGCAGGAGGCCCCACGCAAGGGCTTTAGCCGGCGGGTTGAGCTGGGCGACGGCGCGGTGGCACAGTGAAGACACGGTGAAGGTCGGCTCTCACACACTCTAAAAGGTCACAGAGAACTAAGGGAGAGAATTAGAGATCGATCGGTATTTTTCGTCTTACCGAGAGATAGAATGGGGCGCAGCAGCAGCGAGAGATAGAGAGTGTGAAGTGATTAGGGTTAGAGTGGTGTGAGAGGCTATTTAAGGTGTAGGATGGATGTTGTGGATTTATTCCCTAAATCCAAGGGTCCAAATTAATTCCTGCCATCACTTGTGTGTAAGAGGGCCAAGCCCAGACGGGAACCGGGCCAAGACTTCCTTGGGCCTGAGATAAGGTAAGTGGTTTTGGGCCAAATATCCCAACAGTACAGTAATTAGAAATGACGGGTCTGGCGATGTCCTAACAAACATTGAATGAAATTTGAGGTTTTAGCTAATGATTACCTATCTGACATTAAATGCACACAAGTTGAGCATTTAATGCTGACAGGCCGCCATACAAACCCGTGTATAATAGGGTTGCAGACTAGGGCGGCGCGTCTCATCAACAATCATCACTTGAGAAGTGATAATATTTTATTGTTCCAGGCCCTAGATCTATGCGGGGGCTGATCGTCAAATCTTCAGGTCGGACCCTCGCCACAACTTGAGTTATCCTCATCTTCTGGTTTTCGAGGTCTTCTTTTTCTGGTCCGGCGTTTGTAGAGGTCGACATCGTCCCTTAAGCACCCGAAATGTCGTTCCGAGAAGCTATTCTATGCATTGTTCTCAACAACCTTGCTTTTCGTCAAGCCCGGTCTCTCGGCAATCCGAATGTCGACCGACTTTTGGGGTCGTCATCGTGCAAGTTACTATTCTCAACCAGCGGGTCCTTCATGTTCAACTCAGATATGAACAGTGCCCAAGTTAGTCTTGGCTAATACCATTATGTCATGTGTCCTTGCCCATGTGGAAGCTTATTCTCCAATATATTCCTTTTTACCCATTAAAATCGGTCTCGTATAATATCACATACTCCCTCCTATCTTTTTTATTTGTCATTCTAGCAACTAGCACTCTAATTAAGAATTTTTGTTGTTGTCAATATTACCCCTATTTAATGAAAACTACTACTCCATTAAGTAACACAATTAATGATGATTAGTGTAAAAAATAAATGAAGATTTGTGAAAAATCAAGAGAGAGATAAAATATGAAGAGACATTGGAAAATAGATGGAGGGGTTAAAATTGAAAAAATATGAACAAAATAGTCAAAATGACATTTATTTATTCAATAGTCAATTAAGCTAGAATGACAAATAAAAAAGATAGGAGGGAGTATCATCTAGTCTCCCCTCCCCATACTCTGTTCGAGTGAGCATAACTCGATGTAAGAGTAAAATGTGTCCTCTGGCTGTTTCCGTCAACATGCCATTGAAGTTATAATTTGTATAAATTCTCAATCACCAAAAAGTCACCAAATGGCCGCCACTGGGAGGGATGAGAGGGAGAGAGAGAGAGAGAGAGAGAGAGAGCGCAAATATTGATTGTCCGCGGAGATAACCATTACATTAGGGAGGGCGAACTGTTGGGATCAGTAAGGATCTCGTTATGCACAAATCACGAATTCAATAGCAACACCTATGCGCAATGGATCTAGAGGTTTAGATTTGAATACTTACGACTTAAAATTCACAGACTCTGAGACGTTGTAGATTACCGTTGGAGGAAACTGTCTGATCTCAAAATTTGTTGGGCAGCCGTATTCTTCTCGTCGGACTCGAGAAGATCACGGGATGCGATGACCGGGAGCAACACATACGTCGCGGGGTCGCCGGCGGATGTGCGAGGGTGTCGCTCAGTCGTGGCGGGGCTGCAGCGTCGTCGGGCTGCGCGTGGAGTCGTCGGGCATGCGAGGTCGTCGCGAGCTGCGGCGTCGGGCTGTGGCTCGTGTGCAGAGTGTGAGCAGAGATGCACCATAGTGCGGCGTCTCGCGGTCGTCGGCTACTGCGCAGGCTGCGGCGATCGGCAGGTGACGTCAGTCGGCAGTGGTGGTCGGCCGGCGGTCACGGGGTTGATCGTCGGTTGATGATCACATGGTCTCGGTACCTCGAAATCTTCTACTGTATATCTGAAATACCTATTCGAATTGTACCGGCGAAACAACAAGACGAAGATAAAACTCGACTATGGGAACTAGAGAGAGAAAACTCGACTATGGGAACTAGAGAGAGAGAGAGAGAGAGAGAGAGAGAGAGAGAGAGAGAGAGAGAGAGAGAGAGAGAGAGAGAAAGAGTATGAGGGGAGCGACGTACACGTGATACACGTTAGGTTTCCGCTCTTCTCTTATGTCTCAATCTCATGAGCTTAATGATGTATATATAGAACTAAAGTAGGGATCCTAAGGAGATAAGGATTAGGGCTGCTTAAGCATTTGGCCTAACTGTGAGTCAAGTCCACTCTTGTCAACACTTAAATAATATTTCGGTCTACTAACGATAATAATATTGAACTCCCTTATTCTCCTCAAAATTATATTCGAGACTCCAATTATAATTATTCGAATTATCGTCACATGTTTAAGATATAATATCTATTAATTGATTTGATTATTGTTAATCATGAATTAATTAATATATTATAACACCTCGTTCATTACATTATTATTATGCCGGAACTTAATCCCCTGCAGAGTTTAGCATAACAATCCTTCATTAACTCATTTCGGGGACATCATCAAACTGTCGCACACGGAGACCGTAAATATTCTAACAGCACACCGTACATACAGTACTATTACCCAAAACATCCGGAATATTTACCCAACAGAATGAGTCTCACTTTTTGTGAAACAAAGCAATACTACATGCACATGTCTATTTATATCTTATGGGAACGCAGTAATTAACCGAGACTATATTTGTTTACGACGATCAATATAAAACAAACTACTACTCTTTGGGATCCTGTTCAATACATAAATGTACTAGCACAACTAATCAGTTAAGATCAACTTTACCGTTAACACTACAACCTTTCTAATGATTTGTCCATTAAATTCTAGGTTGTGAACCAACAATTCTTGTATAGCAAGTAACTGATAAAATGACCTTATGTTCACCTTTTAATGAACCATTTTTTCTAAGTGCAAAACAACAGTACACAAAACTTGTTTAACCAAACATAATTCTCATTCAACAAAGATAAAGTATAATATCATCCAAAGTCAAGCTTTCAGTATATAACACTAACACGAACATGAAGCATCCACTTATAATGTTAAACTTGATGCCCACTGCCACCTCATTTGTAGAAACACAGACAATGCTTTCAGTATGAACAGATGCACAACAGAAGCATCAAAAACACTAAATTGAACTCAAACAACATAAAACTACAAGTTGTAATCATGATTACACATAAGTCGTGGATAAATTCAAAGATAATGCATATAATCTAGATCTAATAGTTGATGATTGCTCTAATACCACATATGAATTTATTATCACATAATCAATTCATTCATCATCGGTATACCTTAATTTTAGAAAACCAACTGAGAGATAAATTATAGATCAATAGGATATTAAACATTAACAAGAGCATAATCCACATTATTACCTTTCTTAACTATTCCCAAACTAAATTGTCATATACCTCAATGTACCATCATTTTCTCTTACAATGGGGAGAATAAAAGACTGTATGATTTAACAACGGAGCGAGTAAACAATTTTGCATGGAGAGAATAACATATAGAGTCTATATATACTACTCAAATAGGCAATCAATAATTACCATAAAATTTATTAAACAACTAAAATAATTGTACAATAATAATTATGTTAGACTAAAATTTTCAGGAAATCAATATTTCCTACCAATCCATACATATAGAAAACATATTCAATTAGTTTCATAATGGATTAGAACCATCGCTATATAATTATATATATAAAGGTAGAAGAAGAAAAAAACTTAGCCATCCAATGATTTTAATTAAGAATCTTGAATGAGGATAAGTTTGGCTTGGCCACCGTACTCTTCTGGTAAGGTTTCTTCACCAATGTCCTTAACAAATTCTCGTTTTTCATCTTCACTCGTCACTATCACTACCTGAAGGTTCATTTTTTCCAAATACAAGAAATAAAATGGGGTGTTCAATTAAGCAGCAGTTACTCTTGAAAGCAAAAAAGCAGTCATCGTGATTTTCCAGATAAATTTGAACAATCCATGAAGTTTAGTTTAATTGCAGAATGAGTAAGTAAGTTTTTAGAATCACGAATACCTATTTGAGGTGTTACCAGAATTCCGGAGACTGTCCTTGAGGTCAGTATAATGACCAAGAAAAAAAAA